GACAGCATCCTACTGCTTGCACTTCGAGCACATTTCAACACATCAAGCCCCAAATTCACAGAGCAAAGGCAAAATCTGTCCATTATGATTTAAAAGAAAAACCTAATCTCAATGAGATCAGAGTAAATGTTTTCTGTTTATCTGGCTAATAGCTATAAAATGGAAGTTCACATTTCAAGGAATTCCTATTTGTATTCCATAGATTTTAGTAAAGAAAAGCTCCATTTCTGGAGATTGGCATATAGAACTTTTATAATATTTCCATCTGTAAAGAATTCCCATAGAAATCACGCTGTGGGGAATACCAAATTTGCAAATACAGGGTCAGAATTGTTAGTTTAGTCTTTTCAGAAAAAGATACAATGCATGAATGACTAGTCAGAGTGTCCAAAGTTAACACAGTCCTCTGTGACTACCATGAACATGCAAGGCTATCAACACAGAGGAACAGGAAACTCTGAAACAGAAAAATATTTCAAGGTTCTCTGGAGATAAACTGCAATATACCGAGTGGCATTAGGAAGCACAAGATGAAAAATGTGTTTCATTAATATACAAATATACTATTTATTAAATTATATTTTTTATTGAGTTATAGTCAGTTTACAATGCTGTGCCAATTTCTGGCATACAGCTCAATTTTTCAGTCCCATATGAGTATATATATATACATATATTCATTTATTTTCATATTCAATTTCACACTGAGTTACTACAAGATCTTGAATATATTTCCCTGTGCTCTACAGTATTAGCTTGTTTATCTCTTCTATATACACCTGTCAGTATCTACAAATCTCAAACTCCCCGTCTGTCCCTTTCCATCCCCCACCCCCCCTGACAACCACAAGTTTGCATTCTATGTCTGTGAGCCTATTTCTGTTTTGTATTTAAGTTCATTAGTCTTCTTTTCTTTTTATAATTATCTTTTAATAACTATCAGAAACAGGTCACCAAATCCACAGAGTCAATACATCCCTTATTCATAAATATTTAAAGATTATAAGTGGGATCATTTCATTCAGGTCAGTCATCTCATCATTCAAAGGTCATAAATATCTTCTATATGGAGAGACTAAGCTGAAGGAAACACTGGGAAGAACTTTTCTTCATTCAAAAACAAAATTTCAGGCTCAAACTGGCAAGGACCACTTGGAACAACTAAAAATAATCCTGAAAAAATTTATACACACACACACAGACACATAAACATACACAAATACATATGAAAAGTTTTCAGACAGTGGATATCAGGGAGCACTGGAATATGACCCTTGAGTGATGAGAAGCAAATGAGGGTGAGCTTGACCACTGCCCTGACTCACTGCTTGGAGGGCGTCCCCAACCCCAGTACAGGAAGTGGGGACCCACAGGGAGCCTGGTGGTCTCCCTTCATTGAGGAGGGGGATTTGTGAGTCTGTGGAGTCCAAGGCAACTACAATTCACAGAGCAAAGTCCCACAGAGAAGATGTTGTTAAAGAGAAAAAGTTCCAAAACTCTGCAAAAGGTCCTTCTTGAGTGTTCAACACAGTTCTAATCACTGCATATAAAGGAAGAAAGTACTGAAAAATAAGAAAGAACCACCCAAAAGTGAGCAAAAGGAACAATTTCAAGAGTTCATGCAGGGCCTGAAATGCTCACCCCCACCCCCACCAGAGTGCAAAACCTGAATCCCCAGAACAGTATATAAAGCACTAAGGAGGTTACTGCCCCAGGAGGGGAGCAAAATGAGCCCTAAACTGAAGGTCTCTCTGGTCTAGCACTAACAGAGCTTAAAAGAAAGCTTCAAAAATATCAAAAGGCCTCCAAACGAGTTAACTGCATCCCAGAACAAAGCTTAGGGATATTGAGAACATAAAAATATCTGGGACCCAATAAAGTAAAATTCATATTGTTTGACTTCTAACAAAAATTACCAAGAATGCAAAGAAAGAAAAAAAAAGCATGCATAATGTGGACTGAAAGATCATGCCTCCACAAAATTCATATGTTAATGTCTTAATTTCCACTGTGATAGTATTTGATCCTTTGGGGAGGTAATTAGTATTAAAAGAGGTCCAAAGGTAAGACCCCAATCTGATGCACCTGGAATCCTTGTCAAAGGACTAGGACACATTAAAGAAATTGTGCTTGCTCAATCTCTCTCTGCCTCCTCTCTCTCCCCATCTCCCCTCTCGGTCTTGCCCCAGATGCACAGACTATGGAAAGGATATGTGAAACAAAATGCTACCAGAGCTTTAACCTGGACTTCTAGCATCCAAAACTCTGAAAAAATAAAATTATTTTGTTTAAGCAACTCAGTCAGCGTTATTTTATCAGGGTTGCTATGTCTGACTAAGATACCCATAAGAAGAAGAAAGATCAATCATTAGAAACAGAATGAAAAACAATCTTATGGTTGTTTTGGAGGAAGGGGGTGGGTAGGGATAAATTGGGAGTTCAAGACTTGCAGATACTAACTACTCTATATAAAAAAACAACAAGTGTTTTCTGTATAGCAAAGGGAACTATATTCAATGTCTTGCAAGGGCCTAAGATGATAGAGAATATGAAAATGAATATATGTGTGTATATGGATGGCTGGCATATTGTGCTGTACACCAGACATTAATGCAACATTGTAAAATGAATATATTTCAATTAATAAAAGAGAATCACGTGATGGGGCTTTTTCTGTAGACCTACATCATAGGAAGCGCCTCACAGAGTAACTGTGTGGTTTCCTTTCCTCCGAGAACTGCATGTTAGATCTGTGGGAAAGAGCTACAAGACAGAGCTGCTAAATAAACTATGAAAATACTGAAAACCTTTTGTATCTTCTGTATTATCATATCTCAACAATCAGCACTGTTCCAGAGTGTGATGTGTGTGATTTGAACTTAATTCATGTTTACAAAGTCTTGAAAACTCAGAACCAGGCAGATCCATCATCCCTGACCCCAAATATGTAACACTCCTAAAGTAACCTGCATGAGGATACTGGATCCCAAAGGTTACAAGTGAGGAAAATTTGAAGTGTGTCCGTGTTCTACTAGGGATCAAAGAAGCTCAACTAAAAGAATTATGGACTGAATGACAGGAAAACAGTTGATTGAGCAAATATTCTTTTTTTTAATTATATATTTATGTTTATTTCTGCTTTGCCTTTTTGTTATTGAGTTATAGCCAGTTTACAATGTTGTGTCAATTTCCAGTGTAGAGAACAATTTTTCAGTTATACATGAACATGCATATATTCATTGTCACATTATTTTTCATCGTGAGCTAACACAAGATCTTGTACCTATTTCTCTGTGCTGTACAGTGTAAACTTGTTTATCTATTCTACATATGCCTGTCAGCATATAAATTTCAAACTTGAGCAAAAATTCTTTTTGAAAGGGCTATCCAGAAGGTTATGACAGAAACATAGGAGGAAGTAAGGGGATGGGCAGTGGAAGGAATTAGAACATGTGAATTTCTTCAAAAGTTTATTGACTTACATAATTTTGCGTATTAAATAATAAAAAAAGAAAAACACTTTACATTTAAAAAAAGAGACAGAATTAGAGATAACATTTATGACAGAATTATTTAAAAAGGACCCTAGACAGCTAATATAACCATACTCCATACATTAAAGATGGTAGAAAAAATATTAAGCATGATAAATAAACACATAGAACACATAAGAAAGGTTCAGGCCAAACCTCTAATGGTAAAAAATACAATTTCTAAGAAGAAAAATGCACAGGAATGTATTAACAGCAAATTAGAAACTACAGAAAAAATATTGATCAACTTGTTAATATGATAACAAAAGATAGCCAAAGGAAACCCAGAAAGTAGGCTAAATAACTGAACAGCATAACAGTGAGCTGTGTGAGAACTTCTAGCAGACTAATACATGGAAAATTGGGGTGCCTGGGCAAAGTAGCAGGCAATAAATAAAATATTTGAAGAATAATGACCTGAACACCATAATGCCCAAGGCAACATACAGACTCAATACACTTCCTATCAAATTACCAATGACATTATTCACAAGAGCTGCAAACAAAAAGAAAAATGTTAAAATATGTATGGAAACACACACACACACACAAAAACCCAAAGAGCCAAAACAAACTTGAAGAAGAATGGAGATGGGGGAACCATGCTCCCTGACTTCAGACTATACTACAAAGTTACAGTAATCAGAACATTATGGTCCTTACACAAAAACAGACACATAGATCAATGGAACAGGATTGAAAATCCACAAGTAAACCCATACAATTATTGTCAATTCATCTATGACAAAGGAGGCAAGGATACACAAGGGAGAAAAGACAGTCTCTTCAATAAGTGGTGATGGGGAAACTGGACAGCTACCTGTAAAAGACAGAGGTTAGAACATTCTCTAACATCATATATACAAAAATGAACTCAAAATGGATTCAAGACTCAACATAAGACCTGATACTATAAAAGTCTGAGAGCAAAACACAAGCAGAACACTCTCACACATAAATCACAACAATGTATTTTTTGAACCAGCTCCTGTGGTAATGGAAATAAAAGCAGAAATAAACAAAAGAGATCTAAGTAAATTTAAATGCTTTTGCACATCTAAGGATACCATCAAAAAAAACAAAAAGTTAACATACAGAACGGGAGAAAATGTTTGCAAATGCTGAGACCGACAGGGGACTAATTTAAAAAATACACAAACAGCACATACAACTTAATATCAAAAACGCAAGTATCTTAATCTAAAAATGGGCACAAGAGCAAAACAAGCAATTCACCAATGAAGACATACAAATGGCCAATAGACACACGAGAAATTGCTCAACATTGTTAATTGGCACATAAATGCAGAAGAAAACTACAATGAGAAGTCAATTCACATCAGCTAGAAAGACTATCATTAAAATATCTGCAAGCAATAGATGCTGGAGAGGGTGTGGAGATAAGGGAACAATCCTATACTGTTCATGGTAGTGTGGATTGTGCAGTCACTATGGAGGACAGTATGGAAGCTCCTTAAAAAGCTAAAAATAGATTTACCATGTGATCCAGCAATCCCACA